GGTCAAATGGTAGGTTCATTTGTAGTTTTTTAAGAGTTTTCCACACTGCTTTCCATAGGGGCTGAAGTAGTTTGCAGCCCCACCAGCAGTGGATGAGTGTTTCCCTTTCCCCACATCCCCTCCAACATTTGGTATCATTTGTTTTCTTGATCTTAGCCAGTCTGACTGGGGTAAGGTGAAATCTTAAAGTGGTTTTAATTTGCATTTCCCTGATTATTAGTGATGTTGAACCTCTTTTAAGATGTTTCATTGCCATCTTTACTTCTTCTTTTGAAAACTGCTCTTTTCATACTTAATGTTTGAAGTTCTTTGTTCTGAATATGAGTCCTATATCTGATGAACTGTGTACTGCTCTCTTTTCAGAGGCATTCTCTTCACTCTGTTGTCTCCTCTGCTGTGTGGTGTCTTTAACGCATTCCTATATATCAGTTCTTGCTACTATTTCTGGAGCTTTGGCATTCTATTCAAAGACTTGTGGCCTGTGTCTGGAGCTTGAAGTGCTCCCCCCGTGTTTTCCTCCAGCAGTTTCAAAGCTTCAGCTCTTACATTAAGGTCTTAGACCCATTTTGAACTAACTTTTGCGCAAGGTGAGAGGGCCTATTTTTAGTGTTCTACACATGGCTATCCAGTTTCCCTAGCACCACTGTGTATTTTGGCACATTTGTTGAGAATCAGATGGCTGTGGCTGTGTGGGCCTTGTATTAGTCTGACTTTGTGCCAGTACCATGCTGTTTTTGTTACTGTATTAGCCTTTCTCTTTAGCAGAGGAATAACTTGTGGTAAAGAAATAACTGCAAATGCAAGGCAGAACTTCCTGTAAGGCACAGGACAACCTCAGTGCTTTAGAATTTCATAGAACCAGTCACGTGATGCTGCACTGCTTTCTCATCAGCCCTTTGAAGTTCATGGACCAGTTCTGTGAACACCTGCCAAGTGATGAGTTGCTACAGGGCCACAGGTGTGTTTAAGTCTTAAAAGCAACCTCAACTCCAAGATGCAGGTTTCAGCTGGGAGTATTGGGGTATTAGAATATCTGGCCAATATTCTCTTTTATCTTTGGAGGGAAGGTGTCTAACATTTACCTTTTTACCAGAACTTTATTTTGCATTAAGCACTGGTCTTTAAAACATACATTAATGTATTTAAGCTTTACTATAAGTTAACAACTCATAGCCATTTTATAGACAAACTGAGACTCAGAAATTAAAGGACTTGCCATAGTTGCATAACCAATGTGAATGCAGACAGCATATTCTTCTAGCATCCTTGCAAATGCCCTCTTGTTACCATGGAAGCTTCATTCTGACGTGCTAAGTGTCTATCTGAAGTGCTAATTGAGTTTATCTTCTCAATTTGTAGCTGGTATAAAAGTTTACCAAACCCATGAAAAGAGTTTTGCGTTCTGATCCCAATGTATAGATTCAGAGAAAATCATCTTCCTTTAGCTACACGCTGCTTGTTTTCTTGCTCTGGTGTCAAACCTACTTGAGCTGTTTAGTGTGTGAATACAGTTCTCTGAAGCCTGACTGAGCTGAATGCAGAAGAGATGCCCCGTGCCTTTGTAGCTTCATCTTCATTTTACCACCCCTTTCCTTTCAGAGTCAATGCCTGTGTGGATGTGGTGCTCTCCGGCGTGAAGCTCTTGCAGGCACTTGGCCTGAGTCCTGGGGATGGAAGGGATCATCCCGTTCTGCACTCAAGAAGAGATCTGGAAGAAGCCTTCACCCACTTCATGGGGAAGGGAGCAGCTGCTGAGCGCTTCTTCAGTGATAAGGAAACATTCCTTGACATTGCCCACATTGCATCAGAGTTCCCGGGAGCCCAGGTCTGTCTAATTCACCATTAGTACATTAAGAGGGTGGGGGAAAAGGCCTTTTCATTCTGTTCCTAGAAGCAACTTACTCTTTCAGTTTTCCCCAAGATGATGACCACTAGAAAATCTGATTCTGCAGTTTTTGCCCTTTTTGTTTTGTTAATTCTGTTGTTTCTGTTCAGGTCAGTTCTACCAATGTTAATGAAGTGTATTTACTCAGGCTTTTCTGGTTCATCCATTAAGTGCCCCTTCTCCCCTTTTTTCTTGTTACCCACACTAAAGGTAGGAAGCCTGTCTACTAATTGGTTTAGGTTTTAGTGTTCAGAGAAAATTATTTTGTATAATTTGCAGTAATCTTAATATGACTGGGTCCTATCTAAGCTGGAGAACAAGGCCAAACCCCGTAGGAAAAGGGAATAGGCATGTTCTCACCTTTGCTTGTCCAGAGCAGGGTACCTCCAGGGCTGCCCTGCTGACATTTCAGAGTAGGTACTTAATGCTTTGTGGCAGAGGGTGTCCTGTGCTTTGTAATATGTCTAGCAGCTTTCTCATCTCTGCCCACTGAGTACACTGCTCCAGTCCCCATGTGTGATGGCCAAAACACCTCTAGACACTGCTTGGTGTTTCCTATGGGGAGGAGGAAGGCAGCAAAATCACCCGTGGTTGAAACCTGCTCACCTAGATTGGTAGTTCTCAGACTGGAGCATGTGTCAGAATCCCTGGGAGGGGCTTGAAAGAAATTGCTGATACTACTCCTGGGTTCCGGTTTAGTCGATGTGGGTTTGAAACAAAGAGTTTACCTTTCTAACAAGTTTCCTGGTTGATACTGTTGACTAAGGACCTTGTTTTGAGAGCCACTGGTCTATAGAGTGGAACCTGTCTGGAGAGATAGGGAACTTCAGTGGTCCCCAAGCTCACCTGATAATTATAAACAGAAACCTGGATCCTGCATGGTACAGGCAGGACATCCTCAAGGGACACATGATGAAAGAGGCAGTGCTGGGGTTATAGAAGCAACCATGGCTCTTCCCACCTCACTGTCATGCATGCCCTCATGTTGGGGCTGAGTTTGGGTTTTGATTTAAGCATCCCTCACTGCAGCACCTCCATCCCCTCCACCTGCCTCCAGGCAGTTCCCCCTCCTCATGTAAGACCTTCCTTTGACTAGGTTCCCCAGATTGAGCCTGTAGTTCTAGCCAGGGAAGTTGTTAATGCTGTTTCAGTTGGTACCATTCACAGGCAAACTTTTGTGACCTTTTTGATTTTGATGACTTTGGAGATTTGATTTTTTTTTCCTGTCCTTTGAAGCTGCCTGCTTGAACATTAAAAATGGACACAGTCAAGTTTCTAAAGGAGACAGCAAGTTGTTAAAATTATGTTCATCACCGGGCGTGGTGGCACACACCTTTAATCCCAGCACTTGGGAGGCAGAGGCAGGCAGATCTCTGTGAGTTCAGGGGCCAGCCTGGTCTACATAGTGAGTTCCAGGGCAGTTGGGGCTACAGGGAGACCCTGTCTCAAAAAGGACCCCCCCCCCCAAAAAAAATTATGTTCATCTTGACAGCTGAGCTCAGCAGTGAGAGCCATCTCTTAAGAGAAAATCTTAGCAGTTGTGACATAGTAAACCTCCTGCTCACAGGTCTTTTGATCATGGTATTCAAACCAATTTTCTTTCTTGTCCTCTTCTGCTTTCACCCTACCTGTTGTTGCACAATAAGGAAAAAAATCTATAGAAACTTTATTTTGCTTTTTGATGGTGGCCCAAGTTATTTCTTAACATTATAAAAACGTTTCACCTACTTTCTACTTGCACCTCAATTTGATCCCTTTTCAAACTCCTGTAAAGTAAAAAGCTGGTTGTCTAATAACCAACAGTTTAAAACCATTGTATGAAAAATCTGGTATCCGTTTTATAGGTACCTTACTATTTCCTCCAGTTATATTTAAGTATCCATTGTAGTTAAGTAAAACATTAAGTTCAGACATGTTAAAAGGCCAAATTTGAACCTACCTGTTACAGATCTGTAAATTTTTCTGTAGTTGAAAGCTTATCCCTGTCCTGCTCAAATGCAGAGGTTGGTTGACCCAGACCATGAAATGAGAATGATATCCAGCATCCATAGTTATTTCATTAGCCTCTGCCTTTGCATGGGCTAAGGACTAGAAAGTGGAATGTTTGCTCAGACAAGACACTCCTCAGGAGGCATCTTAGTAGAACAGTAACTGTACCAGCTATTTCTCAGGTTTCCAAGGCACATGGAGTGCCAGCTAGAATTGCACTCTCTAGATGAGAGATGTAGTGTGTACATGACAATAAGACACCTGTGTTAAGGCCATTACCTTTTCAACTTTCTACCAGGGTAGCCTTTGTGTTTCCCAGCACATCAGTATGTTTCTTTTATCCTTTCTCAAAATTTAGCAACAAACATTTAATGAGCCCTTATTCTGAGAACAAGAAGATCCCTGCCCAGAAGGAGCTAGTTGCGCCCCAGATGTTTCTAATTCAAGGGACAAAGTCATATTAGGGGCTCTTCAAATTAGGTGGGAAGGGATCTGTAATCCTGTCTAGGAAGAACTGTTTTGGAGGCTGAGAGATCAACAGGGAAAGAGGAACAGAGAAGGCATCATATAGTGTAAGAAAAAGACCAGGGGCATACCTAATATTGAAGGAGTAGATGTCAAAAGCCCAGAAACCTAGGGGAACACTAACTTGGAGAGCTGCAAGCAGGCTTGAAAGGGCAGGACGTAGCAGGTTCAGGGTGGGAAAGAAGGCAACAGACAGAAAGCAAGAAAGGCCTTTGGAGGCTCCACTTGAGAGTCCCAAACTTCTCTGGCTGCAAACCTTAACTGCATACCTGTGCTGGACAGCTTTAGTGTCAATTTGACACACCTGGGTTGAGGGAGCCTCAATTGGGGAATTGCCTCTATTGTACTGGCCTGTGGCCATGTCTGTGGGGCATCTTCTTG